GGGCAGGTCTCCCCTGCCCGCTGCCCGCCTGGGTCTCTTTGCTGCAGCGCCTTGGGCTGTCACCTGGCTCGGAAGGTGGCCTGAGGGAGGACAGAACACACCATGGAGGTCCAGGTGCCTGTCCAGACTCACTTCAGCCCGCCCCGGCAAGAGGTCTCCTCGGGCAGCTGCTGGGCATGTGGGAGCAGGAGCCCAGGGGCCCCCACATCTTGAACATCTTTTCTGCCTCCCGGGCCTGTGCTGGGGGGGCGGGTGTGGTGGTGGATGACGCGGGCAGGCCCTTACCTGAGCCTGGCCCCGGACGGTCATGTTGGTCTTGAGCATGTACCTCAGGGTCTCCAGAGGCACCTTCAGCAGCCGCCTCGCGCCCTGACGGACAGACAGCGAGGCTGAAGGCAGGAGCCCAGCGCGGAGCCACCACCTGGCAGCACGCTAACTCCTCACCCAGACCCCAAAGCCAGCACCACACTGGTGAGGAACATGCTCTGAAGCCCGGGTGCCTAGGCAGGGCCTCCCCCAAGACAGGCACACGCCTGGCAGGCCAGCGGGACCGGAGCCACCTCCCTGACCACTGCCCTGCCCTGCCCCAGCTCGGGGAGACGCTGCAGGAAGGGCTCCAGGCCTACGTGCCCCGAGCAGCTCTCCTGCGTGGCTTTCACAGCAAGCAAGTCGGGCAGTGAGGCCACGGCCTCGGCGGGAAGGCTGCTGCCGGGCCCCGTCCTGACACGGGTCAGGAGTAAGCCTCGTCAGAGCAAGGTGGGGGTGCTGCCCACGCTTGGGGCACAGCTGGCATGAGGTCAGGCCGGCCCACTGCCCTGAGCACCAGCCTCGTGGCTGCCAAGTGGCAGCATCCAGTCCCCGAGCCTGGGAACACCAGGGCCATGCCCACCTCGTTGGCCGGCCCCTCGGAGCTTGTGGGATGAGTGTCCTCGCAGGGCGGGGACCCGATGCCGCCCAGGCTGGCGCTGTGTGTCCCGGACGCCCCCTCGGCCAGCTAGGCTCCCGCCCCTCAAACAAAACCCTCATCAGTCGTGGCCAGGCAGCTCCCCGTGGGGGACAGAACAGCCAAGAGAAAGGGAGAGGCAGTACCTGGGGTGCTCTGGGCACTCGGCGCCTGGAAAAGAAGGGAGAGACTCAGCACTCGGGGAGTCCCGGGTGGATCCCTTCTTTCTTTTTCCTTTTTCACGTGGCCCCGCCCCCTTGTTCACCTGACTGCTCTCCCCGACCCCTGTTGTGCCACCACCAAGACCACGGCTCACTTCCTGCCCATAGAGGGGGACAAGGCCTGGCTCCCCGCCCCCCCGACCTGCAGCCAGAGGCTAGGGCCCAGCCTGGATGGCCCTCCCGGGCCTGGCACCCCTCCCAGGCCCCTGCCTCCCTCCTGATGCAGCTCCACTCCCAGGCCCCTTTGCAGAGCCCATCTAGGTGGCCTGGCTGTGGGACAGGAGGGCACAGGGGTCCGCGGCCTGGTCGGGGCACCACGGCCACAGTTGTCCTTGGACCACTTTGTGGTCTCCTCCAGTGGTGACCAGGCTCAGGACACCCTTTTCCTGATGGACCCTGTGGGCTTGGCCACCTGCACCAGGGTGGTGGGTGTGAGAAGCTGGGAGCCGGCGGCTGCATGGGGGCCGTCTCTCCTCCCGGATGGTGGGGAGTCTTCGGGGCTCCAGGCCCTCCCCGAGCCCAGTCCCATGGGACCCCAGATACCCTTGTCCCTGGAAAGAGCTGGCATCCGTTCTTCCTGGCTGGAACAACGCCATCTACACCCAGCACTGCCGAGGGGACGAGGGGAAGAGGAGCCAGGGGAGCCACGGCCGGCGCCCCCTCACTTCTCACCTGAGCCCCGGCCTGGGGCAGGGTGGGCGGCCGGGCCTTCCTCTCCCGAATGACCTCCATGCAGCCGGCAGTGTCAGTGTGGAACAGCTGAGGGACACACAGGGCACACACCACACACGCGTGACACGTGTGGCAGGAGGCCCCGCCCTGCCCTGAGCGGCCCCACAGCCCAAGGGCCACGGTGAAAGGGTCTGCCGTGGGG